ATATATATATATATATATATATATATATATATATATATATATATATATATATATATATATATATATATATATATATATATATATATATATATAATGTTTTCACTAAATACTAAGTCACGTTTCCGCAAATATGCACAGTAACATATGATAAAATGTTAAAAACACCAAAGACACCTCAAATGCAATTGCCATTTGATTAAGAACAGCTTCCATATCAGGCGTACTATTTTCTTCACCAGAACCATTCTCATTTTTCCTTCTTTTTTTGTGCTTAGTTCGTTTTTTCAGCATTTTTTGCACTTCAGACTCATCACTTGAAATCACTTCTTCGATATGTTTATGTCTTCTAAAGCATTATGGTTGTTTAAAATTAATAAAAGTCAAAAAATCTCGCATTTTACGCCCTATTCAACTGACATTACTTTTACAAGCTCACAGTCCAACATTTATTTGATTCTACTAGTCTAAAAGATTCAGTCGTGTTTCAGACTATAATTCTAAACTTTGACCAGGCTCTCATCTTAAATTTCTTGAGAAAATGAATAGTATTCATAAAATGCACAACTAAAGTTTTTATGTCTTCTAAATTTATTTCAAATCCATTAAAAACCGATTTTAGAGCTTTCTAGCCATTGAATATAAATTCTTTGGAGATAAAGCAGGAGAGGTTGATGGATTAAAACTTTTGAACGTCAATATGGTTCCCGGCAAATGCTTACTTTTTCGATCGTCTTTCTTTGGCAGCTCTGTGCAATGCCTGCACGTAAGATCCGCGTTCAATTGGATAGCCACGAGTCCTTTCGAAAGCTGAAAGTCGAATCTGTTAGGCTGAAATTTTCAAGTACGCCGTTAAAAATATTATATATATATATACATATAAATTACCATCAATGGCATCGTGCGAAGACCATCCTAAACGATCAATTAAAAATCGGCATATCAAATAACCGCTGCGATTAACACCATTTGTACAGTGGACGCCGATCATCATCTCTGGAACTTTTGTTCGTAAAACACGAAATATAATTTCAAAGAAAACGGCAGCGTTAGAATGAAGAATAATAAAGCAAGTAGTAGTTTCGAACAATTTCAATCCGATTTCCGATTTCAACGTGTGAAAATGTCTGTGAATGACGGAAATATTAGTCAACTATAAGTGCAGAATTAAAAAGGGGTTGTTAAGAAGACATTACATTCTTGAATAATTTTGATTTCTCATTCCTAAATCAAGTTGTCAAAAGTACCGTTATCAGCATTTGATTCCAAAAAACTGTCCACAGCGGCATTGAATGCATCCACCAGATCGTCTCTTTCAATAAAACCTCGACCAGGACAGTTGATTTTTTCGTATGAAATACACATTCCCTCGAAATCACTGCGTTCATAATAACGATCCGTATCTGTCAAATCGACGATAAGACCTACCTGAATTCCTTTTTCACCCAACTGGAAAAGCTTTGTTTTATACACTACAATCGCTTCCTTTTTATAAATAAAAGAATGATTCTTTCGATCTGGAAAAGATTTGGCGCAGCTACTCTTAGCTTTGCAAGCATTATAAAAAGATTAATACCTAATTCGAAATCAAATATCATATAGCATTATAATATATACCGAACATTATGAAAGAAGAAGTAAAAAATGGACCATAAAAAATTCAAATTACAACCGTGCTACCGGTATTTGAAAGTGCAGGCAGATATTATGTAATCATTGGTTCATAAAACAAAATGTAACATTCCCAAAAAAATCAAAACGTCGTTGCCTAGATCAACTTACTTTTTGCAGGAGATTCAAAGTAGTGAATCGCTTCTCCTTCGGTATTTTCGTTGATAGCGTCATGCTGAGAGGTGTTTTGAAAACCAAAAACCGTGTGTTTGGTATTGGTAGGCCAACTGGTTCGTAACGTAGCCATCTAAAAGAAATTTTCTGGAAAGTTTCTGCATATATCAAGTAAACTAAATTCCTGAAAAAAAGGCTTTAACAACTGAGATAATGTACTAAAGCGCATTCATTCAATTACAGCATGCACTTATACTTATTACAATGAAAAGACATCAACGTAATGAGGAAGAATGGAAAAGACGACCCACTTTTCTTTCAAATCCATTATTTATTGAAAATAATTTTGCCGTTTCGCTTACCGTTCATTTGTGAGTGACATATATGCCTTTACTAATAGTCAGTATTTACTCCCGTCCCCGTTTTCTTATCTGGTGTTTATAATAATGAAAACAAAAAAAAAAGAAAAAAAGAAATGGAGAATATTACTCAGCTTTTCAAAGTCGGCACATATGACTTTGGAAAGAAGTTGTTAAATAAAAGAATTACCCCTTGTAGAATATATTTTTGACAAATCAGTAGGAAATCGGTACTGATATGCATGGTATCCTTCAAAAAGGAACTTTAACTTTAGAAATGACTACAAGAAACAGCATTATTTAAATTACCCTATGGTCATTACCAATATAATACGTAGATTTATTTTTCACCACAGTGCAACAACTGCAACCCATGCTGGATGAACCTGTAAGGGATCGAACCTATACTGTTCTTTGTAAAAGCAAGACAACATAACCACTGCGCTCCATATCTGGTTATCACTAATCTTGCCAATAAACGAAGATAACAACTGTCAGTTATCACATCCATTTTACAGAAACTTAGTTACTTTTAAATATTCATTCTCTTCTTAAATTCTTTGTTGACAAAATTGGGCGAGAATGGACAAGTGCTCGTTTCCCGGGAATATTTCAGGAGATGCAATGAGCTACCAATCTCCCTCTTTTATCTAATGAACATATGTTACCCTAATATGACGATGACAAGTCTAATCAAAGTAGCAAATTCAACTTTGAATTGAAGTATGAAAGTGAGGGTAACAATAATGATATCAAATGAAAATCTCACTGTTTCGGTACCACTCGACTGGTTCGTCCCATTGTATACCCATACAATCTCGATGAACTGAACTCCCTTCTCTAATATCTTAAACCCGTCAAGTCAGTTACAACACGCCTTCGCTCAATTTTAACGTCTCCGAACCGTAATAGTTGCGGTATTATTGTGAAACATCACTCGTCCCCTAACCTGAGCATTTACCTCCTTGATTTAACGTTGACGGGGAGGGGGGACAGTGGTTTTCACCAACACATATGGGGGGATGAGTTATAAAGGATGCATATTGCAGTTCATTCTGTCAGATGCAGTTGAATTTCACTTCAAAATACAGACATTGCACGGGAGTGTTCAATTCATTGATAGCGTGACCTTTTAGAGCTCCAGAGTTCGTCATTCATCTTAGTGTATATAGCCAGTTATTCTTCTTCCTGTCCTATCGCTTATTTCAGAGTACAACTTCCCTTGTCTAATAGACAGTCTTGGCTTCGTTAGTTTTCTGTTTTCTGGCACACAAAATATTCAACATTTCCTGAATATTGTTTACTCTTCCTGGAAGCTGCATAAATTTTATTCGGAAATCATCGACCATCAAAAATGCATATTTTTGCAGATTCGAAAAATTATAGCGAGACAATGCCACATTGTTGGCCGACAGAAATAAACCGTTGAGCAACCTTATGTGACCCCTGATGGACATTTCCGTATCTCTCGCTGAATGCAATTGGCTCCTTTTCCCTGACATTGTATGATTTAGTCACTTTTTTGTTCACTCACGTGACGTGAGGTGTCATGCATAAATTTCAATAAAGTAGATCCCAAAAATAAAAGCAATCTGGTCTTTTCACAGTCCTTAAGCATTTAACATAAAGTCATTTCCAAGTCTTAGAATTCAGTGGTTAAAAGTCATAACACAGAAATTGTGTACCACGCGACAGTTTTTGATTGAAATGTACAACTTCTACAGAGAGATATAAGTTGACATATAAATAATGCCATTAGATCTGGCACACATAAGATATGCTATTACGATAGGTCTCATTGAAGTATACGGTTTCATCTATTCAATTGATTTGTTTATCAGATGTTTGGTTAAGAATTAAATGTTCCGGAATGCTCAGTCAGGACGGAGAAGCACAATCTTCTCTTAAAATTTCCAGAAAACCACAATTCCCCGAAGTCTCTTTCCCCGAATCGTAGAGGTTTATATGAACAAGGTTCGTAAGGACATTAAGCATAAAGGATGTCAAAGTACTGAAATATATTTACGCAAATAAAAAAGTATATTTCAGTCAGACACAGATGCGATAGACTTCTTTTCGTTCATTTCCTTCTTTCTTCTCTCTTTCATCAGTTACTACTTGTTCATTTATATTAAAGTTCTGCTTATCTATAATTGAATTCTGAAATTCTTGTCGAGCAACTTTAAACTTTCTTCTATTTTTTCATTTTCAAGGGGTAACCCGTGGGAAATTTTAGGTGGAATTTAAAGGTTGGATTGAATTTAAATGATAGATTTCAAATTTTAAATGAAAGACTTCAAAAAAAACAAAACAAAACAAAAAACTACCGCTTCTATGCTCCTCAGATTTCCAACCTTTGCATTTTTTTGCTAACTTTTCTTCAGCATCCGATGATTGCTTTTGCTTCGCAGATTTTTGATCTTTACCTTCCGCCTCTCCACCTTGATTATCGTCTTTTGCAAACAGTTGTTCCCTTCGAGAATTTTTCTCTTTGCAAGAATTGTGCTTCTCAGATTTTTTTGAATTCAGATCGTCTATGCCATCAAATTTCTTCACGTCACTTTCATTTGATTTTCTATCCTCTCTAAGTTCTTTTACTTTCTAAATTCGATAAAACCACTTTTTTTTTTTCAAATTTGTCGTCTTTTGATGCCATGGTAGAGTGATTAAATTTGAAAATTCCATCAACTCTGCTTTTCATACTTACATGTAAATGTGAAGGCATCTCAATATCCGTTTCACCGTCTCTATTGAATACATTGATTTCGGAATTGTCTCTCAGAGACGGCTGTGTCGATTCAACGGTTAGCTCTGAAATTTAAGTCTTTCGATTAGATGGATTTTCGTCCAAATCTTCATGATAAACTAAGAGCAAAGGTTTACATTTAGGGTAATTCTCGGTAGGAATGCACTACATTTCAACCATTCCTGGGTCAACACATCTCATTTTATATAAGCTCCATATTTGTTGTGAAATGAACCTTTTCTCTTGGAACAGTCGATGACAGCCGAAATGACAATAACAGTAGCAGTGATCATGAGATATGATGATGCTATTAAAATTTCACCCAGTGTGAAATACATTTATATTTAGACACAATCAATGATATCTAGAAACTGCTCATAGGTTGCTTCAATTCAGATATCTTATAATTTCTATACGAATCAAACTCGACTTATTCTTGTTTGCAAAGAACAAAGTTTTGGAGTTGTCAACAGGAAATGTGTCAATCTTATGCTAAACTACTGTTACTCCCAGTCTATCATTTCTTACATCCTTTCACTACTCGTTCTTTCTATTAGCTCATTCTTAAGTGAATGAGCAAAACTACTGAAATCAGTATCGTTATATTCTCATAACTTCTCTAAACTTTCCTGATTCTTTAAGATCTGATTTGAAAGGATTATCTGTAATTTCATATTAATAGTCTAGTCTCCCTTATACCACATTAACACAAATTTAAGAAACGAAACTGATTACAGGAAAAAAATGTTACCTCTGTAAGACACCGCTCACAACCAAACATAAAAATGAAGTGAATAAAATTTGAGAATTTTCTCAATTTCAGAATGCCAGAAACAACCGAAATGTGTAAAACACATCACAATACATGTGTTTTTGTTATTGACTGCGTTATCTGAAATCTCTGTACGAACGATTTTTGACATTGAAAAATATGCTAATATTTACATCCACCTATCACTTCTTACGAACTCTTCCACTTTTTTCTTACAAATTTTTTCATAATTTCATTTGCGCATTTAATATCCCACCGTTTACTCATCAAGGGACATAATTGCAACTAACTTTGTACACTATTTCAGGAGATGAAACTTAAAGTTCAGTGAACGATCATCGACTGAATAGTTAAGAGACATGGTATCATTTGTATTTTGAAGATTTTGTAATATTAATCCGCATAAATTGTATCATGAAGCGGTTCTTTCAAGATTGGATTTCCTCATCAGTTCCTTCCTGCTGTTAGTAAGTTCTTTAAAAAAAAAAAAAACGAATAATTCTAGCAGAAAATATGACTACTGACTGAATCTCTTTGTAACTACTGGATCAGCATAACTTTTTGAGTTAATAAAATTTCAGCTATGAGGAGAGAGGCTTTTTCAAAATATTAGCATTGCTTATGGTTCTCTTGAAATATCGTGCTATTTGGCGAAAAAAAAGAGATAGTGACTAGATACATCTTTATGTATATATTCTGAAATTTAGCGCTAAACTCTTATTATCCTAAATACGTCATCAAATCTGTCATGAAAAATTTGAAAAGGAATGATAAATTTAGTGAGATTCATGGAAATCGAAATATCTCTTTGACAATTGTCCAGACCTGCGTTGAATTCGACTTAATGATCTAGGCTTCTTTGTTTTACTCTTTTACTCTTTTTATCGTGGGAAAAAGAAAAAGGAACTTTAAAAATATTGCTGTGCTAGAAATGCCAGTATTCTTGATTTTTCCCTTTTCTGATTTCGCCTTTCAGGTAAGCTTGCATTATTCGTTCCATTACTGCCCAATACGTGGCTAAAACTTCATTTGAGTAATAAAAAATTCTTGACCTTTCATTGGAAATTCCAGATAAGTATGCCAAACTTCGACAACGAATTTCTTAATCTGTAATTTTTAATGAAAGCCAACCATTTAAGGTGAAGAAAAATGGAAGAATACCAAAAAAAAAAATGCTAATTCTTGAGATTGAAGTTAATTCCAATTGGGAAGGCCAGTAATGTTTCGTTATAATATCGCTTTTTAAATTTTAATTCACATCTGATTAGATTTTGCTAACAGACCTTCCTTCTTTCTTTCTTTTTCATTTCTTATTTCCGGAGTACTTTAACTCAATTTATTATGAGCTATAAACTGTTTGAGAAAGCATTTGTCAAAATTGAAAATCGAAAAACCTCTCAGTTCTGATAACTCTCAGTCTCAATATATGGAACTAAAAATCATAATTCTAAGAACAACTTCTTATTACTCGTAATTCTTAAAAACTAAAGAGTAAATGATATGGAAATTGTTCTGAGGTGTTTCATCTCACCTACATTACTTCATTTTTTTATCATCTGAAGATTGTATCGTCTCTCGCATAATATCTTGATGCATCCGATCAACTTCCTATTCTGAATTAGTGAAAAATCAAATTAGAAAGGCGTTGTTGTGTTAAGTTTGCTATATAAATATTAACTCGAATTTAGTTAGGGGTGAGATAACAATAAGCAAAACAATCATTTAGAATGCTTTAAATTGAATAGAAACTCAGTGAACATTATCAAATATAAAGCATCAGAAATCTTAGAAGAACAAAAGGAAATGAAAAATTTAATCGGAACAGTAAAAATAATTTCAATATTTGCATAATATGTATGGTTGAGTAATAATGTAAGTGTCTCTTTAAAAGTAAAAGTTGAAAAGGATTGAGAAGCAGAAATTTTATCATCATCGAAATCAATGTGAACCATATCATTAGCATCGATATTCAATGCTGTGAGTCATTAATTCAACGTGCTTTTAAAAAGTATGTACATCTTGTTCACTTTCCAGCCGTGATCTTTCCTCGTATTTCTGAACCATTTCTGCGACTGATTCCAATAATTTGTATTCTCCAATCATCTCCTTTTCTGGCATCTTTTTATCACAACTTTTATATTTGGTGAAAATTTGAAGGCTTTTATCATGACAATAGTGTGGACAACAGTGTCCACCATTCCAACTCTTTTCCTTTGGCGAACTTGATTTGTCGTTAACATTTGATTCAAGTCTGTCATCTGGTAACTCTTTGTTGCCAGTAGCCATCTCAATGACATTTTTTGACTTGAGTACTATATGATTCAGATTCAAGTTTGGATTCAGATTCCCACGTGACAGTACAGAATTGAGAGTGCTCGTCAACTGAGTACTTGTGGTGCCGATTTCCGCCACTGCCGTTTGTTCCTCTAATTTATCATTGTTCACTGAAAGCGCGTGTTAGTTTATGACTACTGGTGCTTTTTACCATATTTCAGAGAAAATATTTCGCACACCATTAACTTTATTGAAAGACTGTCAGGAATGAAGGTAATTCTTTCCAGAATATAGATGCGCAAAGTGAACTGTTACAACTTTTAAAAGTTCAAGTTTCCTTCTTGACCAATTTTTTTGAACAAAATAGGACTCAAATAGTACTTATTTTTAATAATTTTAATGTCAAAGTTACCACTAATATCCGCGGCATAAGTGGTGGAGGTGGGTGATAGTTTGATCATTTTTTGCGAATTGTCAGCGATTCGGTCTATTTCCTGAGGATAATTGCGTTATACTCGTTTACACATGGAAAATGAATCAATAAAAAAATTTGAGTTGATAGTTATAATGGATTTGTAGTTCGTTGATAAATCTCAAACAAAACGTTTCTGCGGCAAAACTGATTTAAAAGAAAATTTGATCGGCTCTAAAAGTTCGTCTGATTTATTCATGTTAATCATAACAGTAGTAATGGTAATGACAATAATACCAGTGATAATAATGATAATAATAACAGTAATAATAATAATAATAATAATAATAATAATAATAATAATAATAATAATAATAATAATAATAATAATAATAATAATAATAATAATAATAATAATAATAATAATAATAATAATAATAATAATAATAATAATAATAATAATAATAATAATAATAATAATAATAATAATAATAATAATAAT